ATTACACTCCCCACTTTCTGAAGTTACGTTTTCTGGTATTTGCTGAACTTTGATATATTGCAGAGACAAAGAACAGAAACAGGCAAATAAGCAGAATGTGCTGAGGGAGATTTCTAAGGGCATAAAGAGGAGACAGGCACCAAACTCTCATCACTCTTCTCAGGGAACTCTGAAACAAAGTATTCTCTGTGGTGCTACCTTCATTTTTCCTTGTCTTCAGTGAAATTAAGTTAGGTTGTTTTGTGCCCGTGTCACAAGCATACTTCCCTCAAAAACAGTCCCAAAGCTAAGCTATTACTCATAGCCTGCAATGAAACTCAATGAAATGTCAATAGTTAAAGGAGCAAAGTCCAGTTTGATTACAACCTTTGGTGGCAATTAGAGTTTGAAATAGCAAGTATAGTATGCCTGTGGATGTGGCCAGAATGAATTACAACAAAGTCGTCAGATGGGTTAAATTTGAATCTGCTGGTGTAGTCACCTCTTCCCCTCATCCATCAATTTTCCCTGTTGATAGAAAAAAATCATAGAACTGTCTTGGTTGGATAAGATCTTTGAGATCACCTAGTCCAACCATCAGCCTAACTTATGAAGTTCCATCACTAAACCATGTCCTTTAGGGCCATGTCCATATATCTCAGTTACCTCCAGAGATGGGGACTCTGGCACTGCCCTGGGAACATTCCAATGTAAGAGATGCTGCCTTTGGCTCTTGCTGGTGGCCGAAGTGTTGGGCTGCTACTTGGTTGCAGGGAGAGGACATCACCAACAGCTTCCCTTCTCCTCAGGGTCCCGGGGCACAGTGCTGGTACATGCATGGGACTGCAGTGAGCAGACTGTGGTTACAGCATGCTGGAAGTGTAGGAAGACATGGATTTCATGCTCAGCAGTGGACCAAGCTGGTTCTAACCTGCTCCCCTCTCCTTCCTGTGATGCTATATCGGTTCAGCTGGTTGCTCCTCTTAACCCAGGAGCCTCTCTTATCCAGCGCAATTCTCACTCAGCTTCCTCCCTAGGATCTACTCTGAAGAAGACAAAGTTAACCCCCACACCCTGAGACCCAGCATCAGAATTCCCTGGAGCCAGATGTTGCTGCTGAGTAATGCAAATTCAGCCTGGGAAGGAGAGCTGCTAATCATAATTGTACAGCTGGAAATGTGCAGAGAGCATATTGTTAAAGCAAGTGCACAGTCTTCTGTAATCTACCATAAAGTGTAAATACCATCCTGCTCACAGGCTGGAACATAATATATATATATTTATACTATTTGCACATTAATTTATGTGAGTTTTGGCACTGCTATGTCTGAGAAAGGCAAAGTACTTTTCCCATCTGACTACAAGCTGCACACAGAAAGACCATATCTGTTTAGAGCCTGGCAGCCATAAAAGCTGAGAAAAGTTGTCAAAATAAAATACTGACTATCAATTTTAGACACCTTGGTATAAAGAAATATTAAAGGCTAACAGAGAGGAATGGAGAAAATAGAGCAGACTTGAAGATTCATCAAATGTCAATTGTTGTCATAAAGATTGCACTGAAAACCCATAGAGTTCTCACTCAGTAAACAAAAGGAGAAGCAAATGGAGAACTAACAGTGATGTCTGTGTAATATGAAACTGATTATAAAGAGATGTTATCAAAATATTTGTATCAGAGAACAGAAATGAGGACCCAGAATTTAACTTCTTAGAAAGCAGAGGATCGAGTGATTTAGATTTGAGTTATGTTTTAATATTTTCTTTAACATGAAGGGCTCAACCTTCTTTGAGAACAGGAAATTATCAGCAGTGGACAGGATATGGCTTCTTGTTCTTCAGGACATTGATCTTCACCATCTTCATCTAACTTGTCCAGCCCCTGTGGTTTTTCTCAGGAAGTTCACTTTAGTTCATTCCATTTCCTCCCTTGGTATAACACTTTCTCACTGGCCAAAATCCCACTCAGTCTATATGGAAGGTGGGAGTAGATTCTTCTAGATTCTCTCTTCCTGCAATGTTTAAAAAATAGCTAAGGAAGGATTCTGCAAGTTTTTCTATGTAGCACTGCTTATTCAAGGCTGTTATGAAATTACTTACAGAAAGCCAAAACTTCTGATGTTCCTGTGTCACTCCCATCCAAGTCAAGGGGAAGAAGGACAGCACCAGCTAACAGTGCTGCTGTTCAAATTTCTCTTCATATCCTGCATCCTTAGAAGGTATAAATGCATATGAGGGGTTTTACTGGAAAAAAAAAATACAGAAGGTTAACATTTCATATTCCACATGCACAGTGCCAACAGGGAATCAGTCCCAAAATTATTAAATTGGCAAGGCAGACTGTTGGAATTGGATAGATCTACAAAAATACTGTGCTGGCAGAAGGACTTCTGTAATGTCTTAACCTATATGCCTGTTTGTCAGCGCTTTCCAAACATAAAGGCTCAAATGCCAGTTTTGTGAATATGTGAATTTTTCAGTAAAGTAAATGTTAACGTTGTCAAAGTTATGAATCTTCCATCTCAAGTCCTGTATTTCTACAGCCTCCAGTGATGGCAAATGTGAATACATGATGAAATGCAACACCTGTCCTAGAGCAAGCCACCCTGAATTCTCCAAGGATGATTAATTTTGACAAAATTCTACTAACAATGCTGCTCACAGTTTCACTATTGCCATGTCTCCAACAAAATTCAGCAAAGCTTAGCCCAGTTCTCAGGGACATCTGCTTGTTCACATAAAAAAAAACCAACCCTGCAATCTGGCATGGCCAGCTGAGAAACATATTGGGAGGGAATTCTACTGTGAAACATACCGGAAGGGCATTAATAAAGGAAATTGAGAGTTGTTTTATTTAAAATCCATGTTAGGCAGTGGTTGTAGGGTGTTTAATCTCATCGTCTCTGTCTGTTCTCATAGCAACCCCAATAAATCGGGCAGGAATCCACAGGTAGGAACTCAGTTCCCACTTTACAGGCTTTTTGAGCCTCATGCCCAAGTCACCCTCTGGGAAGGTTCACACATCATTATCTTCAGGTTTCAGCAGAGCTGCATGGACACGTGCATGGGACGTGGCTGCACCAGTGAAAGGAGGTGTCTGCCATTCCTCCCTGGCACCATTTTCTCCTGGGTGTGGTGAGGGAGGTGCCCAAGGGGAAGATAACTGCATGAGGGAGGCATGTCTGGCAGAGGCACTGGGGGAAAAGGAATAGTGGGGAGCAATGGAGATGCACCTTTGGAAGAATACTCCATGAAAGCTGAAGAAGCTCCTTGGGATTTCACTGAAGGTAAATTTGGCCATGCTTAGCACAGCATCTGCATCTATTTCCCCAACATCAGAGATGCAGGCAAAGTCTCACTAAACGAATACACTGAGAAGGAAAAAGGGAAGAAAAGAGGAGCTGAAATACAGTTATATTCTTCTAGAAAGCTAGTCTACCATAAATACTGTATTGTGGGATCTACGTGTTACACATCCTGATACCTGATTCAATCACTGTGGAGAGAAATTTGATGACACTTGAAGGATTTAAGGAGGTGAGAGGATTTATATTGAGGTCAACGCTGTGTTAGACTCAACTTTGATTAAGGAAGAAGGAGAGCAACTGCCTGAGATCATCTGAGATGACAGAGGATTTGCATTAAGTTGATTATGAAATGATGCAATGCACTTTCCTGGGGGGATGGAACAAGGAAGGATCAGCATCAGAAGCTGAGCTAGCAAGGGACTTTTTTATGAAGATAATGAAAAGGAGGAAGCAGTGGAGGACTGGTGCTTTGTGGAAGAGATGTTATTAAATGTCACAGGATCCTAATGTGGAGGACAGGCAGATAGTGTAGCAAGAGATCATTGCAGCTGCATCCATATGTCTGCAAGTATTTCAGAATCAAGAAGCAGGCATATAAGAGGGGGAGATAGTGGCATGCATCTGGGACAGGAAAACAATGAGCCCTGTAGAAAGACTGAGGTTTCAGGGTAGCTTACTGCTATCTAGTATCAGAGAACTAGTAATAAAAGTATCTGTATAGGCCGTGAAAATGAGAAAGGCAAAGGGAAAGTGCTGGCTATCATCTGGAAGAAGAACTAAGCCCTCAAAATCTGGTAAAGACTGAATTGTCCAGAACTCTGTTGAGTTCAATATTCACAGAATAAGTCAGTGTTAGCCAAGTTAACAATTAGCAAAGTTAATTTTATTGAAGAAGCAGAAGTGCAGATGTAAGGAGGGGAATGATAAATTAGAACAATTGCATGTGGGCAGGTTTGCATCTTCCATGGAAGAAAGGAAGACCCTAGTAAAATTTAAAGCTATTCAGGCTAGCTGTAATACCAAAAAGTTGTTAAAATAGATAATCCTGAATTCAGTCGATAGACACAGGGTAGATAATAAGATGCTAAAGGAATTAACAAGGTGGCAGCAAAGATGAAATCCCTGCCCTTGAGCCCTACTCCCACTAGAGCACTGTCTGGAAATGCAGGAAGAAAGATTCAAAGTCTTCACTCACTTGTCTGTTGTTTTTTCTGTGTCCTACATATGGCTGATGAGAGTCTTCTGTTCCTAATTAGTTCTTATTTCTTTTCTGTTTTCATCCTTTCAGTCTCTTTGTGTTCTACCATCTACACCCTTGTTCAGTTCCTTCTTTGCTAGATCTGCATATTCCTCTAGTCTCCTCACATTTCTCTAATGCTTCAGTCATATTTCCCAACCTTCTGTAGCCCCTTTTCATTCTGTAGACATTTCTTCCTATTGTTCTGCTTCCTTCCTCTCTTTGTAGTGCTTTCTCAGGCTCAATTTTTATGAGTACCGAACTTTTTTTTTTCCCCAACAAAACATCCCTGCAAAAGTTCCTGCTCTATCATATAAATAACCTCCTATCATGATCCTTAATCTGTCCTTGAATGCAGTTCTTTCCAGATAGAAAAAAAAGGAGCATGCATCCCCATTTTCAAAGGTATTAAAAAAATGAAGTAACTATCTTTGGATAATGTGGCTATTTAAACTTCAATAGACCATCTTTGTAGGAGCTTTCCCTCCATGATGTCACATGTCTCACAGCCCAACAACTTTAAACACAGCTTTAACAAGAGCATTATCTGAGCAGACACAGAGTTTCAATGACTTTTTTATTACACTGATAGGAATATAAGAAAGGGAATCTTTCAGATTCTAGAAGAAACCCCGCATCATATGATAATAATTTTAAGGCACATGAAGTTGAATTTTGAAAAATTTTTACATTACAACTTTCAGCATTTGCAAAAATATAAACATCTCCTTAGAAAATAAGTACATACAAGTAGTGCTATTGTAAAAGGTATTTTTAAGTATTTTGCCAATTTTAAGAGCATTTTAATCAATATAATCTTTATTATTTTCCAGTTTCATAAGCCAGTGTTTTATTTTATGGGCACTTGATTTCTTCTACATGTATTTATTCAGCCAGTTGATCATATCCCTTCTTCCTTCCTCAATATAAGGTTTATCCTGAGGATTGATGTTTTCTTTTTTGCGGTGCACAAAACCATGAGTCTGTCCAGGGTAAATTTTAACTTCATAATCAACTTTAGTGTTTTGTTTAAGCTTCTGTTCCAGCACAGTAACCTGTAACAGAGAACGTACCATCTTGGCTGAACATTGACTTAGCATGGTAGGTATTTACAGGCTTTCTTCTTTTTTACTATGTTTTCAACTAGTGGGTTGTTTTTTCTCCAGAAGAATAAAAGTGTGTGACTGTACAAAACTGCAAAAATGTGTATAAATTACTCTAGTAATACCCCTAAAGATAGAAGTACTTACTACTCACTGTCACAAGAAGGATAACATGAAGTCATTGCTACAAGTAACTGTTGATAGGCTCCAAGAAATAAAACCTGGCATTATTCTGAATCCATTTGAAATTGTGCAAAACTGACAGACCAAAGTTACTGGGATTTTTGCCAGGAAAACACCATTCAAAGAAAACACACCCTCCTGTTTGGTCCCCTTTGTAGATCATCTTTTTCTCCAGACATTCTCCACCCTTGCTGCCCAGGAAGACTTTTGACAAGTGTACCAGAAAGCAGAAGCTCTGCAGGACAAGCAGTTCTCACATATGTCCACATTTTGCAACAGAAAACGTTTTTAGTGTCACTGTAAAACTTTTTGGCTTAAAGATAAGTGACATAAATTTGTGTAGAACTACAGTATAAAGGGGGAAAAAGTGCAAATTGGAATAGGCTCCCCAGGGAGGTGGTTGAGTCACCATCCCTGAATGTGTTTAAAAACCATTTGGATGTGGTGCTCAGGGACACGATTTGGCGGAGGGTTGTTAGGGTAGTATGGTTAGGTTATGGTTGGACTTGATCATCTGGAAGGTCTTTTCTATGAGTGATTCTATGATTCTAAATTCATCTTCTGGTTTCTCTTAAGTAAATATCAATTTACAAAACAAGAACAAAAAGCATGGAGACATATCTCCAATGGGAAACTCACTTGCTCCAGAGGGACGATTTCATCTTTTTCAGCAAAAATGAAGAAGGTTGGGTGAAGCAAACTGCTTTTGTCATCAAAGAACTTGATCACTCCTAGGGGAAAAGGAAAGGCATATGAAGTGACTAATGCTAGTTAAAGAGGTTAAACCACTACTAAAGCTATCCAGTCAAAATAAAAGACATTACAATAAGTTAGAGCTGATCAGATTATAAAGGAATTAAACACTTTGTTTGAAAGTCCCTTTTATTTTGAGAAGTTCCCATGTTTTGGGTTGCCATTAAAGACAGAAAGACCAGCTCTGTTCAAAAAGTTCAGGGAAGATTATTACTGGTTTGCCCCATTCTCACTTTAAGTAGTCAAATTACATAACGGTATTTTGTAATCACATCACCTTTTTCTTCAGTAAGCTGTTACACTGAGTTTTGTCACAGGAGCACTCCTAAAGGACAGCTTCCTGCTCTGGTTGTGTCTTCCCACAACACAACAGCCATCTGACACTTACCATAAAGAGACACTCCTGTCTTTAAATGAGGATTTTTCAGCATCAGGTGTTGTACTGCTGCTCCACCCCAGCAGAACCCAATTACACCAATGTTTTTTGCACCACAATGTTCCTTTAGATACTTCATGACAACATCAACTTCTCTAAGAAACATAAAAGAAAAAGAATTAAGGCTTGAGCTCTGCTCCCCTGGCTTCCCTGATGGTTACTGCTACTGCCCAGAGGCAGCTGGGCATCCATTGCCCATGGGAGGGGCTGGGTGACTGCCTTTCCCTTGCTTGGGCTTTTTCTCCTTTCCTTCAGTTAATAAACTGTCCATTAGCTTTCTCACATATTTCCTTCCTACTCTCTTCGTTGTCCTGCCTGGGAGCAAATGCATGAGTGCTTGGTACTGGCTGAGGTCCCACAGTAGTACAGTTACTCATTTCTGAGTTATAGGACAAACTATAGGTGAGAAACCAAAGGAGAAAACATGCAAATTCACTCTTCCCAGATCACTGTACTTAGAACCTGAGGAGATTTTACATATAGTACACCAATTAACTTCACAAGTGGCAATATTTGTCCTATAGCATAACATAAATAAAATATAACACAGTTAAGAGATATCAGATGAAAGTTTAAAAAATATGACTAGAAAATGGCAGAGTGGTATGCTCAATATCCTTTCTGTACTGAGATACCCAAAACTGAACACAGTATTTGAGATGAGGCCTCATCAGTGCCGAGTACAGGGGCAGGATTACTTTCCTAGTACTGCTCACCACACCATTCCTGATACAAGCCAGGATGTCATTGGCCTTCTTGGCCACCTGGGCACACTGCAGGCTCATATTCAGACTGTCCATCAGTATACCAAATCTGATGGGGAGCAGGACTAATGAATTCAGTTTTGTTAGGTGACTACACCTTGCCTGAAGCCCATGGAAGTTGTGCTTGCCTGTAGGAACTGCACCAAACGGAAGTAGAACAAGCCTGATGTAGCCCCAGCTTTTGGTTGTTCTTTTATTTTGAGTCATTAATATCTTTCTTCTACTCTTGGTACAACTAAATAATGGTCACTTTTACTCTTGTTCCCCAAAAAGCACCCCTCAGATAACTGTAAATTCAACACTTGAACTGCATGAAATTTTTGTTTCTGGACATCCAGCTGTATTTGACACAATAATAATTTAAGACCTAATCCTGCATCTTTACTGAGGCAAAAATTCCTACGAAATAAGCACATCCACAAGCTGAACAATGAACAACTGTTTTACTTGTCTATTTTGCCGGCATCTCGTGATTTCACCCAATCATAGAAGGTAGCCCAGTCATTCGAAGGTTTCCATGGTTCTTGTCCCACAAAAAAATCTGGCAGGATGGCTCTGTAGGAGAAATAAGATTTTATGCCCATGACATAACACTAAAAAGGGATTAAAAGGAAGTCTGTGTGTGCTACAACAAGTTTGGTTTCTTGAATACATGTAGAATTTAATCTCCATCAAAACATTACACAAGCAACCTTCATTATTTTTTCTATCTAATAAGCACAGACAGCATAACTTGCCCTGCTAAATAATAATTTTGCCCTGCTAAAATCCATTAATTAATTTGACACATAAAGAATGAGAGCCTACAATTTACAGGATTCATTCATTAGGGCTAGAAGGAATGATAATGCAAGAAATACAAAGAAGAGGATATCCAGGACACTTTCACATATCTGAGACCTTGTTTCTTTGTCTGGTACAAGCTTGTACACTTCATTTCCATAGAATTACCTGCAGTTTCCCTGAAATTTTTGCCAAAACAGCAAACATGCAAGCATGCTATGAAGCGGGCTGTGTCAGGCTCACAGACAGTCACCCAGTCAAAGATTCAAAATAAGGCTTTTCTTGGTTTTTGGTTTTTTTTTTCCTTCTTCTTTTCAGTACTTGCATACTGCCTTAATATGGTAGGACTGCACAACAACATTCTTACACTGCTTTAACAAACAGGAGGTTTTTTAACTGAAACCTATGAAATTGTTCATATTTGTATGGCTTATAAAGAAAAGGAAACGGAAACAATCTGACTTTCTCGTTAAAGAGACCCTTTGCAAAGTGTAGGATTTCTTACGTGTATCCATTGGCTGTTAGCATATCAGCTATGTATCTCGTGTTTGGGAGTTCCCACCCAAATATGTCATGAATCACAATCACAGCTTTGTCTGAGCTGGTGGAGGGTTTGGAGACATAGGCCTTGATGTGCTCAACTTGTACTTCCTGCCCACGGCCGCCATAATCAAATCTGTCTCCAATGTCACATGGACAGGGCCTTAACTCGTTCGCCATCTGGAATGCCGCCCAGGAAAAACAGAGAACACTCAGGGGTGAATATCACAGCACAGCACACTGAAAAAGACCAAATACGGTGGCGTCAGACTGGTGAACTTTTTAATCACTCCACTGATATCGTGAACAAACTCATTGCTGTCAGATCAAAAATGAAACATGGATCAATCAGCAAATTGGTCATTTTTCATAATATGAATATCATGAGAGCTGTTTATGTTATAAATTCTTCCACAGGATCTGGTATGTAGTTAGAACCTGTGGACCCTACAACAATACAGTAAAGTAAAGGGCAACCAGGCAGGCAACCATCACAAATAATTAAAATAGGGATGAAGTCAAATCTATTACCCTTCATCATATGTATGTCCTTGCCAAGAATGTATAACACTCTTTATCATGTAAAGGCTTAATACAGGGCTTAGCATTAAAAAAAGCAGAACAAATTAAAACAACCAGGATGTTGAAAAACAATTAGATTTATATTAAATGCAGTATTTTCCTCTAGAAAACTCAATTTTCTATAGCAGACCTTTTCAGTGTCAAGAAGACCTCTCTCTAAACCAGCTTTAGCCTCAAATGTTGCAGATTTTGAAGAAGGATATTTAAGGAGTTTGCAAATAAAAATATACTCAATGGTAGACAGAGTGTATATTTAGTTAGTATTAAAAAGGAATTAATTCTAACTCCAAGAAAGGAAAAAAACTGAATGTAAGGAAAAATTTCTGAAATTGAGTCAAATATTTTACAAACAAAGGAACAATAAGGGTATGGTTAAATTTTTACTATTAAATTTTTACTAGCTATTGCTTAAATGAAAACAAACAAGTAATTCACAAAGGTCAAAAAATGCCAACAGAAATTAACAATGTTTGTGTAGCTTCTTTTCACCCCAAGTTAATAATTTTATGACACGATCTTAGCTTAACCAACTGGGTGAACTAACTCCAGATTGCTGCAAAATGACTCAAATAAGTTGCTTGAATATGTGAAGATCATCTCCAAGTTGTTCAAGATTTTTGAGAGAATGTAGATTAAGCTTTGTCTGAACTCTTCCCATACAAACTGCAAAGCCTGTGAGCACTGTGTAAGAAGAAACTGCTTGGTATACAAACAAGAACAATTCATCCTGACTGTGCCAAATACGCTCACAGAGAGAAATGGGGAAAAGCAGGTTACAGACCTCTCCCTGAATAAGGGTGACTTCAATCGTAGTGGCATGAATGGGATAGCTGCCAACAGCCAACCAACTTTACAGCCAGATCTGTCCAGTGGTCCAGAATTTTCAGAAATCCAATGATCTCGGATGAGTTCGCACATCATGAGATTTCATTTTCACAGATCAAAATGTCAAGACTAATTATATCCTATTTGAAAGCTGTATTAGCCTTCAGCACACATGCGTGCAAGTCTAAACCACACCCCCCTAGAGGTGTTTGTTGTTTTTTTTTTTCCCCCACATGCTGTATTCTCACATATATATAAAACCTAATTTAAAATAAGTTTGTCTGGAAAAAAATGAATTAACAAATAGGTTTATAAGCCAAAGTGCAGTATAAACATATAACAGAAAAAGTTGATAAGTATTTTTCTTTCCTCAAACTGTTTCCTTTTTATTAAACTGAAATCAGAAAGCAAAACCAGATCAATTGAATAGTAAAGAAGCACATTTAGGAACTTCAAAAATGCAAGGGCTATGCCATACAGTTAAGCATATCCTTTAGTTGTGTAGATTTTTAATGAAGTTTTCTGATAAATCTTATGTAAAATATTAAATGTAAAATATTAAGTATTTAAGGGTTCAGATACAGGTAGAAGAGCTCCAAGCACAAGTCTGTGCAGTGCTGTGGAGGCTCCTATGGTGCATCAGCCACACAGGCCTGTGAGCTTTGTAACATAATCCAAACAGATCAGTGTTTCTACACTTGCTCCAATAGGTGCTATACACAAATATTATCTTCTTGCATTTCTGGGATGCTATTAAAACTTTTCTTAAAAAGAAATCCCCCTGCTTTATATTCAACAGAGGCAATTTGGAAGAAGCTGTGAGCCCACTGCCATCACTGTGCTCTCTCTCCTTCCCATCTCCACTTCCAAGCACTTGAAGACCAAACAGCAACTTCAATTGTCAGCAACCTGAACCTACAACTAGGAAAAAAAAAAAAGGTAGTGCTGCGCAGCTCTTCTGCTTTCAAGAGGCTGTCCTGATTCTGAATGGCTTCATCACCTTGAAAAGGAAAGCAAAGCCTTTCTGAACCACTGGAACAGTTAGGGAAGAAGTAGCACCCTGGTGGCAGTTCAGTGAGTGTGAACTCTGTACAAAGGCACATGGATAACATGCAGGTTCCCTAGACACGTTGTCTTCCCTCAGTGTGCACTGCCTTTATGATTCTTATGAGGAAAAGCAGTGAAAATTAAAGAAAAAACAACTAGTCATACCTACCTGTAGCACAACCAAGGTATGAGGTGGCAGAGCCAAACTGCAGAGCAGGGACGGCAGGCACTGGACAGAAGCGTGGAGAAAGTGCTAACTCAGAGCGGAGGGAGTGAGAACCAGGATCAGGTTTCTTCAGACAGGAGTTACGTCAGTCACTGCCCTTATCTGCACGTAGCACAGAGTCAAACAGTCAAAAGTTCACTTTTTTTTTTAAGGCTTTTCATTTTATTGTGAGGACAAGTAGGAGGTGCTACTGGGACAAGTCATGCTATGTCTGAATATGAACTGTTCCTTGTAGCTTGTACAAAACAGCATTAAGAACACTTAGGAAATGTGTTTGCTTACCTGAGCAATTCATTTAGACCATTTTTTTTCCTTAAGGGTGTTCCTTTGCTTTTAAGGATTGGGCTAGTATCACTTACAAATATTATGCTGACATTTTTATTCCCTCAGATTATTTATTCATTTGTGATAGAGGAATGCTAAGTCATCAGCAGGGTGAGGTCCCTCAGATTTATTCATTGGTGATAGAGAAATGCTAAATCATCAGCAGGGTGAGGCAGTGACACAGAAATCATTTCAAAGCTCTGTGCAAGACATAGCACAGCACAAGAAAAGCGTGAGAACATGTAAAATGTAAGAAGGTTACACTTTTGTACGCTGTTCTACATATCAGTATAATAAATGTTTAAAATGCTGAAATAAATTCTTATTATTGGATATGTTATAATATTTTTCTTCTGAGATAAGGTGACTCCCTTTCTCAACCGTGTACACCTTTGTAAGAAGCTGGAATTTTCTGATCTTTTTTTATTGGATGATTTGGTTTATTCTCTAAAGAGCTTTTTCTTAGAACATTCATGATCAAAACTGTTTTTTCAGAAGCACATCTGAAAAATATATCACCAAGTTCACTTCTGTCTGTGACCTGGCTTACCATTTGGTCCTCAATCATAAGCTGTTTTCCCATGTTCTAAATAATTTTATCACTATTATTTGTTTACAGTTCTTAAAATGAAGTTAAATGAAGGAAAAAAAAAAAAACCCAAAAAACGTACTCTACAATGAAGTCATAAGATTCAAAAACCAATTATTTGGGAAGTCTTCTCTGGGGGGGGGGGGGGGTCTCCACACATAGTTACACAGCACATAGTGTTGGATTCTCCCTAGCTTCTTCAAAGAGCAGTAAAATAAATGTGAAGTAAATATGCAGTTGAAATCATCCCTAGAAGCAATGTTTCACAGAACCTCCTCTCCACTGGAGTTTCTTAGCCCCTGAACTGCAGCACTGTGTCTGTGGAAACTCTATACATAAGATTATTCTCCACTGCCTTAATATTAACATCAAACCTTAGAATTTTAATGGGTTTTATTTTGATTTCCTGTTGGTTCTGAGTTTCTTTCTGGACAATGCACTCTAGTTCTTTATTTACAGCTCATGATCTCTCCATGTGCAGTTGGTTACACTTTGTACTATATTGTACACATATTAATTTTGGATCTTAAAATTCCAGTAAGCTGCAGTTTTATCATGAAGATTTGGCTATACTTGTAGTAACTTGCATTTACTCTCTCGAACTCCAGCAAACACTGTCTCAAGTTTTTTTTGTTTTGTTTTTTTTTTCCCTCCACAGCTAAGTCACAGTATTAGTTTTACTTCACAAGTCAATATTTATAAATCACTGCAATTCTCTAAATGCACGACCTGATCATCCTCTTACACAATAGATAATCTTCTAATGTTAATGGAAGTCCACTGAATTTGGGGTTTGCCAATTTTCACACTGGGGTAATTAAGGCACAATGAACTGCCACTCTAGATTCTTGCCCTGGAAGAAAGATGTGTTATCAGTGTATTACATACAGATGGTATCTTATCAAAAGCAACACTTAAGCAGTTGCATGCCAAAATTAGTGTTCTCCTTGAAGAGTCAATGCTCACTCTACAGTCTTCCCTTTGGGAAAGACAGATGGCCACCAGCAGCAAGTGAAGTGGGGAAAACGTTCATAGAAGCAAGCAAAAGAAATTAAAAACCCATTGAGAGATGGTCAATTAATATTGTTGACTCCATTTTTAAGTGAAGCACACTACAATGTATATTTCTCTGATGATACGTTTAATGTGAGAAATTGCCATTATAAAAATTAAAGCTTTCTTAATTACATTCTCTTCCCCTTAAAATCACACAACAGTTTATGTCAATAGCACTAGAAGGTGGAAAGGGACGATATCAAGTGAAGATCTTCAGCAGCTGGCTTCAAACTAATGAACACACACCTCTCTCCCATAGGTCATGATTAAACTGCGGAAGTCCCCATCATGGGATGCACTAGAGGTCAACACTGTAAGCAGATTTAAAACAGGACTGGCAAATTCACAGAGTGTAAGTCATCAGTGGTTATCCAACACAATGGCCCAATGACAAAATACAGCTCAGGAAGTCCCTGCGTTGCTGCCTGTTAGGATGTGGAGCAAGAGGGAAAATTCCCGAGTGGGCATTGCTGGAGGCTGAGTGCTGAGGGAAATGCAATCTTGAGCTGCTGCAATGCAAGGATTTTTGCTGTATTAAGGGAAAGTTACGTAACAACATGCATTATGCAAAAAACACTGAACATTCCTTCTTTAAGCAGCAGCGAGGGTTTGTGAGATGCACAACAACGTTATGTTTGAAATTTATATTATAGTTTTTAATTCCTAAACTTGTTAAATACATACCTGTCACTGAGATACTGGTCAAAGAAGCCTAGAGTCTCAACATGATCTCCACCAAAGAATCAATTGGTGCCCCTAGATTTTGGGCCTATGGTTTACATGGTACTTAAATGAACAGTGGCCATAACTTACAAACAGATTATTCTACCATTACCATAACTTTTTTAAAATACTAAGCTTAACAGCAAAGTACTGGAGAATATTTTACAGCATATTAAGACACAGCAATGCTAGGTGACATCTAAGACCACCTCAAATGAATATAACATGAAATTAGGAGTTACAATCTACTGAAAAATAAGAGGCTAAAATGTTTGCTTTTTTCAGGAATTTCTATTTCCTAAATACCAATTTCTAATTTTCTAAAATGTGCTATTGAGAGTCTCCACACTGTATTACATGATTATGTTATAAATTAGTCACTTGGTATTCTATTAAATACATTTATTCAGCCAGTTGATCATATCCTTTCTGCTTTTTTCAATATAAGTTTTATCCTTAGGATTGATATCTTCTTTCCTGTACAAAACCATAAGTTTGACCAGGATAAATTTTAACCTGATAATCAACTTTACAGTTTTGCTTTAGCCTCTGCTCCAGCAGGGAGACCTGTAATATAGGGCATAGTCATGGTTACATTAATATAGCTATATTCCATGCTGCCAGGCCATAGCTTACTCATCATTCAAGCCTGAAACTAATAACCAGGTTCCCTACAGGCATAACAGAAAGTAAAATTACATTAAGAAAAAACACTTTCACTGATGGTCTAGAAAATCTGTTACAATATAAAGGCAGATACAACAACCTGCAAAGATATGGATACAAGAAAAGTACATATGAAACATATCACAATGCTAAATACACTAAAACTGAATTAGAAGTCTCACATGAACAACAGCGAATGCAAACTGGCTTATAATGCACATTCTATAAGTGTATGCGTCCAAAAAATTCGAAGAAAAAATTTTTATATACTATTTAGAATGACAAATGATGGCAAGAGGTTTTTTCTTTTTTTTTTTTTTTTTTTAATTTTAAGAATAATTGTTGAAGATAGGGATTATGTCACTTCCAAGTTTTATAGAGCCATAGAATTACTGAGGGACCTCTAGGGTCTGTCTAGTCTAACCCCTAAGAGTCAATTACAGCAGGCTGCTCAAGGCCTTGTTGAGGTAGAGTATCTTCAAGAATTAAAAGTTTCACCACTTACCTAAGCTTTTTCTTATGTGTAATTGGAATTTTTTGTTTTCTTTTTTTGGTCCAGTTACCTCTTCTCCTTTCACTGAATACCACTGAAAGGTGTCTGCCTCTATCTATTCTACTCATTTTTGCATCACCTCTAACTTTAAGTAGCACTGTGAAAACCATGTACAGTTTAACCTCACTGAGATTTCTGAAATTTTGGAGTACAGCTAATCAACTACGAATATAAGTCAGTTTACATGAGAATTCTTTCCTGCCCTACTTCAGATTGTGCATGCAAAAGTGAAAAAACTTCAAGTTGCAATTCCTGTAGATCAGCTCTCCAATTATCAAATTGGACTCATGCAGGTGATATAAGAAATCCTTTTATGAATTCGTAGATAAATATGCACATGAACAAGTACAACTCTCAAGAAATTCATTCCACGTAATGATCTCACAGGACATGTGGAGACATCTATAAGTAAGGCTTACTATTCATCATTGTATGGACAATCATTAAGACTTCACAGAAAATAGCTGCTGGTAATCTTGGCAAATGGAATGACTAAGTGCTCATAAATCCCAGACCAAAAGTTTCCTCAGCAACCCTAATTCTTTCTTTTGTGTTATATTTCATAATGCTACTCTCAGGATGGCTTCTTTCATCTATAAGTTCATAACTCTATTAAAGCACACAAATTGTTTGACAAGAGAAAAAAAAATTGCAATGTGAACAGATTTGTGAACACTAAATGAGACAAAGAATCAAAGAAAAAAAACATAGTTTTTCATCCTGTAAGTATCATGTTTCCAGCATATTGGCTAGAGCAGGGTTAGGTGCAATAAAAAACAAGAGCATTCCTCATCTCATTCTTGACTTTATTCCCTTCACTAACTTCTCACTAGTACAATCAACAAATTTACAGAGTGGTGTGGTTAGACTGGTATCTACAGATTATATAACTGGAAAGATTATCACAGTGGAAATAGAAAGGAATAACTGAAAATAAATGAAAATGCTCACCTGTGTCCAAGGCTCACAGAAAAACTCCAAAGAGAACAGTGTCCAGAAACAGATCCTTCCCCTGTTGCAGTCAGCCCTTAAATGGGGTCTAGGAGAGGTGCAGCCAGGCTCCACCCCTTCTGGTCACACAGCTGAATTGCCTTCACTTGTGCTCCCAGGGCTGACCCAGTGTTAGCCTCAAGTGATCAATCAGAGGTTCAGGCCATGATTCAACAGTTCCCATGCATCGCTTCTACACATTTTCTTCACTGTGAAGTCTGAAAACATAACCATGTCTAGACCAATAGAAAAAAAAAGTCATCCAGAACAGAATTGTTCCCTGAGTGCACAGCAACAGGATTTTTATACAACTTTGCTACCTGAGTTACTGGCAATACTCTGGCAAAAGAAAGAGACATAAGAAAAGAAACCATTCTTATCCTAGGTTATGTTAATGCTTCTATGTTTGGCTCCATTTTTCTGCTCTTGTTTTTTTAATATATATTCAAATATTTCTATGAAGCTGAGCATTAACTCATAATTCAGGAGGGAAATTTAAACATGCAAATGAAAGAAGACAGAAGTTGTCAGCATACTTGATGGAAGGAAATGAAGTCATCTTTTTCAGCAAAAATGAAAAATGTAGGGTTCAGCAGAATGGATACACCTTCAGAATCCTTGACTAGTCTTAGAAAGTATTTTTTAAAATCTTCAATTAACTTTTAAAGTGAAATTCAAATTCAAGTAGCACCCTGTTTATGCAATGAAAAGTTTGCAGGTCTCATGCAGTATGTAGCCATAAACATCAGCTTTTTGTCAAGCTACTGTAAATATGGCTTCTACTAGGACAACCCCCAGGATTAAAATTTTATCTAAGTCAGTTTCTTAAGCTACTGACTGAATATCTGAATGCTGGGTTCTTTTGAATTGATGGGGAAAGTCCCATCAAGCAGTCAAAAAATTTACATTCTGAGTACAGTAGCAAAGAACAGCTTAAATATCTCAGCTTCTTGGGAAGAGCATAAAAGGAAAGCTGATGTTAAATAACCACAATCTAACTGTACAGAGTAATTGGATCAAAAATAATGCTGTCTGCATGAGGGTGACATCCTAGCTCTGTAATATGCAGTTACAAAACGTTAGGAAACAGGAAAATGGAGAAGAGTTGGGAAGATGACCAAATTGCATGCGTGTCTGTCCAAACCTGAAATAAAGACACAGCTCCTATGATTCATTCTGAATCTAGGAACAAATTTCCTTATCACCATCTTCTTTGTATAAGAGCTTTCCTACTTTACTGGAAATATCTCTCATCATCAACCGAGAATCTAATTAGAAGAAATACTGATGGATCAGGTACATAAGCTACACAATACATATGTGTACATGTGCCTGCTTGTATTACATCCTTGTATTTACCTACAATAGAGAGATACAACAGTCTTCAGTTTGGGGTATGTCATCATCATGTGACATACAGCAACACCACCCCATCAGAAACAAGCAATCTCTAATTTCTTTGCACCACACTGTTCCTTTAGATACTTCAGGACAGCATCAGCTGCTCTGGAACATAAGCAAAGGCAAATTAATCACCCGTAGTAAAACCAATACTGAAAAATATGAAAAGATAAAGATGTATAAGCATCCTCACGTTGCTACCATATTCTCTTTCATACACTTTAAATAAATCATTACTTCAGGTAAATATTACGTGTTGTTAACTTGAAATCATCCAATGGAGAGGGGAAAAAAAAAAAAAAAGAATGGAATTAAATAAAAACACATCATGGATAACATACACCAAAGGGAATGGATGAAATGGACGATTGATTAAATATTTTCCTCAGAGGTAAAAAAGCTTGAAATTCTCTGAAGAGCTGAATGAATTTTTGTTTTATTCATGCAGACAGAAAAAGAAATAAATGCCTCTCCAGTGAGCATAACTTATTAGAAAGTCAAAACGTTGACAATAACTGTAAGTTAGCATCTGAGATATTTTCTACAGGAAAGTCAACATATAAGATATGGAACATGCTTTGAGAATTCACAGTGTCATTTGAAATACACCTTACCCAGGCACTGTACTCAGAAAGCATTTACCCAAGTAGGTTTCAACATGCAGGCAGAATAAAGAGAAAGTACTGGTGGGAGAAGGGTATCAGAGTAGTGTTTTATATCACCTCAAGACTATTTTCAGCCCCTTTCCCCTGGGCATGCAATCTGTTTATGATCACGATACATTAACCTTGCAAATATCAACTTATCTGCCAACACATACATACAAATTAAATGCCAAAAAATTTTGTTCACTGGAGCTGACATTTGAAACATGTGAGCTGTCAGTAAGAAATGCCAGGCAAAGTCCAACCCTTCCTTCCCATTGCAGCAGAGTGGGTACAGATTCCAAACTAAAAAGTTTCCACAACATCTGACTCCTTTGAGACAGGAGCTCTCTGGATGTGATTCAGTTACGTCTCCCATAACCTTCTCACCACATAGCTAAACCTAGCAACTTTCAATATAGCTACTTCTAAAAGATTAAGAAAGATCTGCTCTCCCAGTAAGTCAATTAGCTTGGTATCTAATTAGTTTGGCCCCTTCACAGTATTGTCTTGCCAATGTCTTGCCCTTCTGTGTTATTAAGACAGCAGAATATCTCTGCTAGAGACAGAAGGTCTTTGACAGCCAATGTCACTCAAGTCTTCAAAAAGGGCAAGAAGGGGAAAAAAAAGGGAAACTACAGGTCAGTCAGCCTCATCTCCATGCCTGGAAAGGTAATGGAATGACTTCTCTTGGATACCCTCTCCAAGCAATTGGAAAAGAAAGCAGTTATCAGAAGTAGTCAACATGGATTCGCCAAGGGGAAATCATGCTTGACAAACCTGGTAGCCTTCCATCACTGACCTAATAGATGGGAGAAGAGCAGTGGATATCATGTACTTTGATTTTAGCAAGGCATTTGACACTGTCTCCCACAACATCCTTGTTATGAAACTTAGAAAGTATAGGATAAATAAGTGGACATGAGATGGACTGAGAACTGTCTGACTGGTAGAAGTCAGTCGATTGTCATCGACATGCAGAGTCTGATTGAAGGTCTGTGTGGCAGGTGAGGCACAAACTCCACTGCTGGTGCAGAACAAAGACGTTTATTGTAGGTGCTCACAACCTTTTATACTCCCATAACAACCACTTGGTCACATGTACCAGCCAGGAGCCTTGTGTATGTTTACGTCTGGAGCAAGTAGCTACCAAGCTTGTTTACTCATTTGGAAGGTCTTTTGTTCATAATGTCTTTGTCCCACAGGTCTGTAACAAGTGGTGTTCCCCAGAGGTTGGTGCTGGGTCTGACCTTGTTCAACATCTTCATCAATGACCTGGATGAAGGGATAGAGTCCCTCAGCAAGTTTGCTGACGATACAAAGATGGAAGGAGTGGCTGACACACTGGAAGCCTGTGCTGACATTCAAAAAGACATGGATAGACTGGAGAGTTGGACAGGGAGGAGCCTGATGTGGTTTAACAAGAGCAAGTGTAGAATCTTTGGGGAGGAATAATCGCATGCATCAGTACAGGTTAGAGGATGACCTGTTGGAGATGAGCTCTGCAGAGAAGGACCTGGGAGTCCTGGTGGAAACAGGTTGGCCATGAGTCAGCAGTGCACCCTTGTGTCCACGAAGGCCAGTGGGATCCTGGGGTGTATTAAAAAGAGCATGGCCAGCAGGTTGAGGGAGGTGATCCTCCCCCTCTATTCTGCCTGGGGGGGGGGGGGGGGGGGGGAGCACATTTAGATAACGGTGTCCATTTCTGGGATCCTCAGTTCAAAAGAGATAGGGATCTCCTAGAAGGAGTCCAGCAGAGGGCTGCAAAGATGATTAAGGGCCTGCAGCATCACCTGTATGAGGAAAGGCTGTGTAACCTGGGTCTATTCAGCCTAGGGAAAAGAAGACAGAGAAGGAATCTCATAAATGTTTATTAATATCAAAAGGGATGTGAGAGGCAAATGGATGACGTCAGGCTCTTCTTGGGATAGAACAGTGATATGACAAGGAGTGATGGCCTAAAACTTGTACATAGGAAGTTCTGTAATAACATGCGAAAGAACTTCTTCACAGTAAGGGTGATGGAGCACAGGAATAGGTTGCCCAGATCAGTTGTGGAATCTCTTTCTATGGAGATATTCAAGACCCATCTGAACACTACCTGTGTGATCTTTTGTAGAGTATCTGCTTTAGCTGGGGAGTTAGACTCACTGATCTCCTGAGGTCCCTTCCAAACCCTGCAATTCTGTGATTCTACGAAATGTTTGGACAGTGTTGAACGTGTGAGAGGAGTAGGCCTGATCTCTTCAGGAGATTGTAACAGGACACTTCACATGATAACACGAACAAGTTAAAATCAAAGAGCAGGTTAAATCCCAAGCTAACAGGAGCCATGGCAGGTACAGACAACTGCTTATGCTGTGTTCCTTACAGACTACTTCAAGTGTTAGCTTCTGTTCTGCAGTGGTCCCAATGCAAACTTGTTCACTGAAGACATGACAGTCACCTACCATAGGAACAGCCACATGACTGTGGTGCACTACATCTACACCAGGGTTTAAAGGTTTAAAGATCCTTGTCCAAGTTGCAGAGACAAAAACACCTTTGCTTGGGAAAGGACCTCAGCATCCTTCAGCAGCCTGGGTTCAACAGACTATACCTGGTATATAAACAGTGTCAAAACCTTCCCAATGAAGAGCAGCAGTTAGTACTTGCCTATTATTTTAGCTGTTCTGGCTGGACAGAACTGGAACTAACAGTGTTTCTTCAGCAGCGGTACCAAGATAACATTTTTAGAAGCTAATGAAAATACACTTGATCTCACTAACTGCAAGGACAAACAGTCTGCATGTGTACAGCACTGTACCTTTCCTTTGGCCAAAAGTTTGACTCTAAGGCACTAGCAGAGGACTCTTCGGACATATTGTCTGAAGTTAACATTTTGTTCAAGTCAGTCAATGCACCATGGACTGGAATTACAGCAAACTTCCTAAAAGCTCCTCACAGTGAAAAGAAGACTG